TTGTGGCCACTTGGGGAGTGAATCTTTAGAAGATCTTTCTCTGTCTCTCCTCTCTGTATATCTGCCTTTCCAGAAAAAAAAAAAATCTTAAAAATGATGCAAATGGCTCAAATAAAAAGATCTCAAAGTTGTATTTTATGCAAGCATCTGAGTTCTGATGGACAGATAGCCCATTTTTAAAATACCATCATGTATGAGAAACAATGCCAGCTAATAGGAGGATGATGGGAGCAGCTGCAGGAATGTTTAACCAGGACAGCACTCAAGAGATCAGAGATTGGAGGGCAATGAGTAAGGATGAAAACACTTGTGGGGATCCCTCAAAAGCAATGACAAAAGACAGAGGGAAGGCTGGGATCAGGAACGCTTTTACTAGGAGCATGCAGACCCTGCATTCAGGAGCCATCAAGATGAAGGGCTCCACATCCACTTCCATGGCTGCCTTCCATCAGATCAGCCTGTGTGTAGTTAGGATGCGTTTTAACCAGATATTCATTCAACAAGCCCCACTTGGGGCATGCTGTAAGCCAAGTCCTGGACTAGGTAAGAGTTTCACAAAAAAACACATCAGGCATGATGCCCATTCTTTTAGGCGTGCTAGTTAGTTGCGAGAGCAGATCTTCACAACACGCAAGCACATAAAATACAACAGGTGTTAGAGGGGAGCATGCATCCCCTGTGATGTGAAGTCAGTAGTGCAGTGTGCTGGGGGGCCATTCGAAGACTCCCCGAGGTACGTCATCAGCAGAGCACCCCAAACACGTCAGTGCTTAAGAACACAAGGAGGCAGCAGAGTTGGCATCCAATCATAGATCCTGCTTTATTAACTCTTAGGTGCTTGGAAAGATGTGAAAACCATCTGTTTCCTTCAAGGGGAATGCTGGAGAGAGAATGAGAATTAACGTGTGTCAGTCTGGGTATCTGTCCTAAAGTTTCCTATGGGATTTCAAATTGTAATGAAATGCGACTCGATGCTGAACAATGCAATTCAGAAATACCATGGAAGCAACAAAGATCTGCCGAGAGGCAGGATGAGGGATACTGGAAGAAATGGAGCCTCGGGGGCTGGTTCAGGTTCATGGAGCATGATGGAGGCAGAGGGGAACACTAGCTGCCATGGAGGGTGAGAGCAGGGGAGCAGGAGCATGGCTGGCACATCCAGCCTGCTGGGCAGGAAGAGTGGCAGAAGGTGAGCTTGGTTTTCGTCTCTAAGATTCAGTGAGGTATCATTTCCCTACCATAAAATTCACCCCTGAACTGGACACAATGAATTGTGGTTGGTAAATTGAGAGGTGTCCGTCCATCAGCAAAATCCAATTTGGGAACATTGCCGTCCATCCCTCTATCTCCCCTCCTGCCTATTTGCAGTCATTTCATTCTGCTTCTCTCACTTAGCACAACGGTGAAGGAGTCCAGGAACTGTCATCCCCAAATATGGTACCCTGGCATGCTGATGGTCTTAATTAAAGGAACTCTGAGAACAGCAGATGCCGGAGGAGGCTTTCTTTGATTTTTTCCCCCCTTGTCTGCATCAAGTCTGGACCTGCCAAGGCACAAAACAATTCCCTGGGCTTTCATTAACTAAATTCAAGTCGCAAGAAGAAAGGCTGAAGTCTAGCTATACACTCAGATAGGCTTTCATCACACTGCACTGTCCTCTGTTTCCGTCCCATTCAATGTCCCAAAGAAAATCCTTTACAATCCGTTGTCTGTTCTACTGGCTCAATAGATGCTGCCTCAGGCCATTGTATGGTTCTCCAAACCCACTGCATTTTCTAAAAATCATTTAGTGAGGACAGGAGGGGAGAGAGGTCAGTGAATGCCTGCCAATAAAAACAGCTGATCACAGAGGTTTTATAGAAATTCTGAATTGGATAGGGTAAATCCTCCCAACTTTCTTTTTCAAAATCATTCTGGCTATGTTAGATATTTCCAATTCCCATACAAGTTTTAAGTTCAAGTTCGCCAATAAAATAACAATCTCCTGCAATACTAAAACAGACTGAGTGGAATCTATAGAGCAATTTGGAGAATTGCCACCACATTGGTATCGAATCCTCTAATCCACAAACATGAAACGTGTTCCATTCATTTAGATCCTCTCTTAACATCAATAATGCTTTCAAACTTTCTAGTGAAAATATATCCTTGTATCCTTTTTGATGTCATTCGGGGTGGAGCTTACAATTTTGAAGATTTTTGTTCATTTAGCTAATATCACTTCATTTTTTTTCAGTATCAATGTTCTATCATTCAATATTAACACCACACATCTTTTTAAAGAACTTGAAGAAGTTGCATTCTCGGTGACAGTCTAACTTTCCTATTGAAATGAAGGCAGAGAGAGGCTATGAAGAACCTCTCCTTATGTTACATTTCTTCAAAATTAATGAATTCATTTTGAAAGGCAGAGTGGCAGAGAAATCTTTTGGCTCCCTCCCCAAATGGCTGAAGCGTCTGGGGGTGGGCCAAGCCAAAGCCAGGAGTTAGGAGCTTTTTCTGGGTTTCCCACATGGGTGCAGGCGGGTACATTAGCAGGGAGCTGAAGGAACTGGAAGTGGAGCAACTGGGACTTAAATTGGAATCCACACAGGATGTAGGCATCGTAGTCAGCAGCTTCATGTGCTGCACGGCAGTGCGGACCTCGTCTCTGGCCTTTTCAGATGCCCTTCTTTAGGCTGAGATGTTGGATTTCTATTCTGTTTGCTGAGTGTTGAATTCAGCCAACTACTTTTATGTAACTGACCTTGTGGGTCTTATTATTTACTTGTTCTGTAAATATAGAAGTAATGCCTTCCTTGAACGTTGGGTATTAACAGAACGTATAGCCCCCATGGCACATTCTGTTTGGTCCCAGCATTTGTTGCTGCATTCACTTTGCTAAGACTCGTTTCCAGGATTTTTCTACCTATAAGAGGTCTTCAATAATGCCTGTAGCAATGCATGTTATGAGGAAACTATAGCTTTGATAATTCACACCAAATTTGTTTTCACTTTCTACTTTTGTGAGATCATGAGTTTCATGTATCTTTCTAGACTAACTAAAACTATAAATTTCCCTCGAAATGGTGCTTTAGCTGCATGTCATGCATTTTGTAGGCTGTGCTTTCATTCAGTTCTTTTCTAAATTCCCTGTGATTTCTGTAATACATAGGTTATTTCCAAATATTTGGAGAGTTGCAAAGTTTCTCTGTTGACTTCTATTTGATTTCAACATGACTGGAGAACATACTTTGATTTCAGTCCTTTTCAATTCAAAGAAATTTGTTTTATGGCAGAGCAGATGGTCTTCCTTGGAGTATGCTCCACATGCTCTTGAAAAGCATGTGTATGCGGCTGTTGGAGCTCTATAAATGTCAGGACAAGTCGGCTGATAGCATCAAGTCTCTTCAATGCTTGGTGATTTCTGTCAAGTTGTTCCGTCAATGATTCAGAAGGGCCTATGAACATCGCAAATATTACTTGCCTATTTCTCTTCATGTCATTTTCTTCGCATATTTTGGAGATGTTAGGTGTATACATTGACAGTTGTTCTGTCTTCCTAATACATGGAGCCTTTTGTTGGGAAATGTCCTTTTCAATTTCTAGCAGTATTTTTGGTCTCAAAGCCCACTTTTATATTAATATAGCCACTCTAGCTATCTTACGGTTAATGTTTGCCTAGAACTACACTCTGCCATAATTTCAATCTTTGAATCTGAAGTGAGCCTCTGTCAGCACCACAGTTGATGCCTACTTCTTTAATTCACCCTGACAGTTCCTATCTTTTGATTCAAATGTTTAGTTTGTTGAGATTTAATGAAGTCAGTATGACTGGATGTGACTGTCATTTTGTCATTTGGCCTCCAAATGTATCTTTCTTCTCTTGCTCCCATCTATGTTATATCTTGTTTAGTGTATAGTTAACTTCTCTATTGATTTCTGTATCTTTGAGTGGTATTTTAGTAGCTGCCCTAAGAACTACAATAACAGGCATTCTAATTTATCACAACTTTCTTCAGATTAAGAGTAATACAATTCTTGGGCTCGGCGCGGTGGCGCAAGTGGTTAAAGGTCCTCGCCTTGCACGCCCGGGATCCCATATGGGCGGTTCTAATCCCAGCAGCCCCGCTTCCCTTCCAGCTCCCTGCCTGTGGCCTGGGAAAGCAGTCGAGGACGGCCCAAAGCCTTGGGAACCTGCGCCCGCGTGGGAGACCCGGAAGAGGCTCCTGGCTCTGGATCGGCATAGTATCGACCCGTTGAGCTCACTTGGGGAGTGAATCATCGGACGGAAGATCTTCCTCTCTGTCTCTCCTCTCTGTATATCCGCCTTTCCAATGAAAAAATAATAAAAATAAATCTTTAAAAAAAAAAAGAGTAATACAATTCTTATTGTTACAAGATAGTCTATTTCCTACCTCTCCGTTGTGATACAATATATACTGCATCTATGTTATAAACTCAACAACAGTTACAATGATTACTTTATAAAACCTGTATTAAGAAACAGAAAACATAATTATTACTCTAATGGTAATAAGAGTAATATCTTAGTACTCTTAATATCTTATTACTGTTATCAAGCTCCTTGTCCTCTGGTTATTTCATGTTATTCTTGGAACTGCGGTGAACGAATTTAGCAGATGAAATTGAGGTTTCTAAATAAGGAAGTTGTCCAGGACCATCCAGATGGGCCTAAGGTGGCCACAAGAGCCCTGGAGAGCAGAAGGCTCACAGATGCAGTGGGAATAAACAGGAGAGGAGAGTTAAGGCAAAGGGAGAAATCAGAAAGATGAAGTGTGAGGCCCCAATCTGCTGCTACTGGTGTTCACCATGGAGAAGTAGGCCGTGAGCCAAGGGATGTGAGTGGCTTCTAGACACTGTGATGACTGCGAATCAACAATCACCAAGGAGCTGGGGATCTCAGTTCTAGAAGCACACAGAACTGAGTTTTGTGGACCTGAATAAGCTTGCAAGCTGATTTTCCTAGAGTTTCCAGAGAGGAACACAGCCACCAGCAGTGGGGGGCGGGAAAAGTAATTTATTTGCATTGTTTGCATTTTCCTACTGTAGTGTTAGGACTCAACATAAGCATCACTCTTCTATTTCCTATTTACAGTTCATTTGGAAAATTGCTACAAATACAATATACAATTTTTAAAAACTTATGGGCAACTGTAGTTTGTTTCCTCTCCTCTTTACAAGGCCATTCAATTAAACAAAAATGTATTTGGACATTCTCTGTACATGTCTGAAAGGGCACAGGTTACACTGAAAAAGCAAAAAGAATTTTTCACAAATACAATAAAATACAGAAAACAGAAAGTACAGATGATGTCATTTGGGGCACAAACATAAACAATACAGTACCATTTCAGTAATTAAACAACATAATACCCACAACTTAATAGAAATAAAACTGCAAACCTGGAGAATGCTCTGACAAATATTAAACATTATATACACAATGAGGTAAATGTACCTTGGTCTCTTGAGAGGTAATTTAAGTTTAAAGCAATTGACATTTTGAAGCATCTCCTTGACATATAAAGAAATACCAAACATCTTATTCCACTGGCACAATGTGAACAAGGGATACCAAAACATGATATTCAATACATAAATCTTGTTAAAAAAATAAAAACAAATTCACTGAAGTTCTTTTGATGTTTGAAGAAAACAGGCTGAATGTGATTGGCCATGTTTGAGAAAGTTTACAAGTTGGATTGCAAGAGGGATTGAGAGGTTGGGTGTGCTGCCAACCTTCACGAGGTTCTCATAGTCCAGCGTTCCCCAGGGGGGCCTGGCAGACGCCTGCATTCCCAAACAGACACAAGAAGCTGCAGGACACGACCCCAGATATTCTTTAGGGTCTCAAGATAGTCGAATTGGCATTTTCTGTTGAGCTGTAACAGAAACATTATTTGGAATCTCCACCATTTGGAACCCCGAAACTGTAAAGATCAAGACACCAAAGAAAAGAGCTGACTTGAAGTCATTCCTTCAGCACAAGGACACAAACAGACCCCTGACAGTACTGGTTCTGCTGTCTCTCTATGCAGTACCTTTCCATCTTGTTTCACAGAGCTGTCTACATGTGACACTGTGAGACACAAAGAGGAAAACAGCAGTGCGAGCATGGACTTCACTAAGAACCAAAATCTGGAGCTGTTGATGGTCCTGACACTGTACTCCGACTCGAGGCTCTTCCTGAACAATGTCAGGACAGCAGAATGCAGGCCTTAACTCTGCCCTGGAATGGACACAGACAGTGCCTGTGGTCTGGCTCTCATCGTATTGCCATGCTACTCTTCCTCCATGGCTCCAGCAGGAGCGCCCCAACCCTCATCCACCCAGTCTCAAAGCTTAACATCTCCAAACTGCAATCAATTCAAAAGCAGCTCTTCACCAAAAAGGCAGGGGAAGGACACGATGGCCTCTGAGACAGAGACCAGCAGGAAGGCAGACTGGACAAAGCTGGGTCAGAGCTAAGGCTCTAAAGGAAGAACCTGGGTGCCAGCACTCACCGAACTCCATGTTCTCTGGGATGCTGACAGAATGAATGGGGACAGCTTATTTGCCAGTAGGTAGATTTTTTTTTTTTCTCAAGTTGAGTCTTAGCATCTTAGGATAGGCAAGCATAACAAAGACTTGTGTTTGAAATGACTCTAGTCCAATATATCTGCAGTTACAGTCACAGCAATCATTTGCCTCTTCTTTTATGTCACTTTCACGTTCATTAATAGCCATTTGGGGCTTATCAAACCATCCCTATGTGCCCCCCTTCCAAAAGAAAAAGAATTAGCTGCAATAATCTGTAAACTGATTTTAGAACTAATTCCAACTTTTAAAAAAAAATTCCCTGATTCATCAAAAGTACATTTTTCCCACTTAGACAAGAACATATAACTATAAATCAACCTTTGATTTAATAAAGAATATCTTCAGGAAAAGCTGATTACCTTATATGAAAGAAAGAAATCATGTAATGCAACTTTGAATCAGATAACTTTTGGCATGTTCTTAAAATTATATAAAAATAGTTTCAGTGAGAAAATACATTGGTCCCCTGGATTTTTATAAAGCAGATTTGCCAAGCTTAGAAATGGCCAAAAGAAACAAGTAATTAATTATAGAGCTAGATAGAGCTTATTACACAAGTAATAGAATGTAATTAGAAAAACAAACTCCTAAACATATTCATTTGCTTCAATGAAATCATGATAGCTACAGAAAAAAATCTCAAATCTGTAGTCAAAATACTAACTTATTAACTTCTAAGCACATTTTCCCCATGTTTCCAAACGCATGGAACGGACACTAACTTCCCATGTGATATGTCACTCATTCTAAAATTACTTTGGCTTTGGGACCAAATAGTCTTTCAAATTTACTCTAGGCATAAGAGATATATCAGAGCGCCACTTATTCAGCCACTTTCTCTTCAGACCAATCTACTGTCAAGGTTGTCAGACCCTTCTAAGGGAACTGCTAGGACTTTGAACTCAAAAGTCTTGCCTCACAGATACAATAGCTTCTTCTCCCTTCAGAATAAGATCACAGTGATAAAAAGAACTTTGAAAACGCTAAGTGCCCTGCAAAAACTCAATAGTAAGAACCATTTACTGGAAGCTGGTTTCAACCTAATGTGAGAGGACCATGACAAGCCTTACTCTATACATTGATTTGACCAAAAACTGCTGTAAAAGGAGTATCTAACTCAAAATGTTTAGCTAATACTGCTCCCCAGTCTCAAGGGTGTACTGAATTCATCATGTGGCCATGTGAATGACCAAGCTGCAGTATCCGCATGCAGAACAAAGACCAGGTGGAAGGTGCCTTCCTCAAAGCTCAGTGAGACCTCAATACTACACTAACTTTACCTTTAGTCAGAGACAGAGAAAACACCCCCACATAACAAATGTGACTCACACACCTGTTGTCTAGTAAAATTATCTACCTTTGCCTTCTCAATAACAGGCCTATTATTTAACTTTACGTTAAATGTAATCCATTTCTTAAAAAAATAACACTGTCTTTGATCAGAAAAACAAAAAATGGCTTACAGAATAACCACACAACTTTTTACAACCAGCCAGACGAATATTCCCTTTAGAAAAATTAGTATGTATGCTACAAACTTTAAATTATTAAAGTACTATAAGCATCTAGAGTGCCACTTGATTTTTTTAAAGTATACTTAAGACAAATACAGTTAATAATACAAATGCTTAATATGAGAATATTCAACCATGACCATGATAGCAATCTGCTAACTTACTGCCACTTCACTGCTTTAGTGGTTTAAACACATTCTGGTAGGAGAAAGGCATTTCCAAAATGAATACAGAACAACATACTACAGAAATCATTTCAAAAAACAAAACAGTGAAAGTTTGGGTTATCCAGATAAGTAAACTTTTTGAATTTGAACACTACAGATTCCAACACATTTAAGGAATTCTACTCATTTCCATTAGAAAGGTGCAGAAGTGGCACTTACTGGTATAGTACAATCCCAGTTTGAAGGCATGTGTTGTTCTGAAAATGTGAAAGAACATTAACAGTATACAAAATACAGTTGCATAAATTATGTTCCTCACCACTATATGAGGTCATTTTTAGACTCAAGATAAGAGTTTTATAAGTGTTAGCTTTAAGATCCTGAAGAATTATAGAACAGTACATTCAAAGTCTGAATCAAGGAAACTCTATAGTGGTTCAGAATTCTCTGAGAATGTACTAACCAGGAGTAAGTCACGTTCTTTAAAAATAAGAAATGTCTGTGGGACTCAGCAATCCAGCTCCTTTACCCTTCAAGATGATTTTCAGCGCAGCAGAGTCGCCTAAATTTAAGACCAGTAATCATTTTTAAAAAAAACAGTTTTGTTAATAAAAAATAAAGGTAGACTACACAACATTTTGTAACCGTCCTGGGAAAGAAGTGTTCATAGTGCACAGAGAGGACCCCAGTGGCTGTTTCCTGGGTCCCAAGAAATCCTGGGAAGCTTTTCATTGTCATTGCCTGTAGCAAAAGGAAGTGCTATCTTTCTGTTCCCTCTCAGTGAGGTAGAACAAATGACCTCCCAAATTAGAACCCAGGAGCAGATCTGAAGAAAATGCAGAGTTCAGGCAAAGCTGTAGCACTACATTTTGATGCCTTCCTGTTGACTGAGCTGTGACAATGTTTTCTTAATCCGTAAAGCTGTGAGCCGAGCTGCTCCATTGGCGTACCAACATTCTCTCATGATTTTAGCCATTACTCTCAAGGCCTGTAAGAAAATACAGAAGGGGAAAATATTTAAACACTCAGGGCATACATCATTTTCCATTGATCTGGATGAGAATCTTTACCCAGAAGCTTTCCTTTAAAGGGATGTATGTCCAGGATTTTATGCTAGCATTATCTGTAACAGCCAATGACTAGAAATGATTTTTATTTTTCCAATCTGCACTTCTATTAGCTGCTGGAAAGCAGAGGGGAAGGGTGTGATTCAGCCAGCAGATCTAAAACCCATAACCCTCAACCAGAGCTGGGCAAGGCCAAGGCCAAGGAGGCACCTAACTCACAGAGAACACTCCCCCATGAGAGGGTGACTGTGTAAGACAATTCTAGGGTGAAAACAGGAGGATCAACTCAGAGTGGGCCCCAGACACTTGTTTCCACCAGCCTCACAGGGCTGAATGGCTGTCCCAGCTCTCCTCCAGCAGAAAAGCAAAGTTTGTTTTGTTTTTTTCTTTATCTCAGAGGGTATAACAGATTCATGGCTTGAGGAACACAACAGTGAAGTTTAATGCTGAAAATATCCTAAGTACTCAGATGGTGAGGCCACTTGCACATGTTTCTCAGCATCAGGAGACTGGAAAAATCTTCTCTAGAAGTTAGAGCAGCCCAAGAGAAAAAAATGTCATGACTTCTCAAGAAGGGTGTGAGACCATCTATAGCATAGTACACACAGGAGCCGGGCTCCCCAATGCTGCCAGAGCTCCAATCTCCCACAAGGAGAATAGATTTGTCACACATCTGAGAATAACCTGGGAAATGCAACTGAGATAAATAAAGCAAACTGGTGATAAACAGAAGCTACACACAGAGCAGAAACCTATTAGTCACAGACTCAAAGAGTTCACTGTTGGTGGGTCTTTGGGCTGGGAGAACATTACACTTGATCTTAGCCAAAAGGCTGAGAAGCAATGGGCTGAGAGAATGTTAAGGAGATAAATAATTTATGGAAAGAGATCAAACATACTAGGAAAAGGGGCACCACCTTAAACAGGTATGGAAGCAATGTGTCACTGGCAAAGTAACATTTGAGCAGACATGAAAGAAGAAACAAATGAATAAAACAAGAAACAGGAAGCACTCATTTCTACAAGGGCATGTAAGAGCAGCAGAGAATCTAAGGGTTGAGCTGCAGAGCTGGTCTCATGCAAGAGCAGCCAATCCAGCCTGGAAAAGGTTGGAACACTCTGGAAGACTTATCTAGGTACTGTATCAGTTTCATATTCTTGGTATGTTTATTGAGAGGAGATTTCAAAGTCAAAGATTAAAGTAGTAATAATACATTGAAAACTAATCAAATTGAGAAAAAAATAAAGACAGTGATGGCATGAATTCAGCATGATGTGATAGTAATTGCAAATGTATTCTTAATGTTAACTGCTAATGTTAACATCTCCATGCTTAGAAGCCTTAAAAGCCATCTGTTTAATAGTAATCTGCTCCAAATATTAAATGGGTATACGAATACTTCAAGTTTTCACTTTGAAGTCTCTAGATCACATTTGTTAAACTGTGTTGCATGTGGATTCTTTGAGTATGCTGTTCTGTATTCACTGGGACCTGGATACTTGATTTTGCTGGATGCAGCAAGCTCTGAAAAATGAAGATCTGCAGTGCTCTGCCATCAGCTACCAGAGCGACCAGCCTTTCACTCTTCCTGAGTGACACTTCACATCTACAAGGATAGGCCCTGCTTCACTGACATTACCATAGTGACAGCCAGCAACTAAGGACAGGTTATGCACAGTCTGAATTATTAATTCTTTTTTTTTTAAGTCTTTCTTTAAAAAGATTTATTTATATTTTTTTTGGAAAGGCAGATATACAGAGAGGAGAGACAGAAAGAAAGATCCTTTGTCCGATGATTCACTCCCCAAGTGACCAAAATGGTTGGTACTTGCTGATCCGGAGCCATGAGCCAGTAGCCAGGAGCTCTTCTGGGTCTCCCGCATGGGTGCAGGATCCTAAGGCTTTGAGGCATCTTGGACTGCTTTCCCAGGTCACAAGCGGGGAGTTGGATGGGAAGCAGGGCCACTGGGATTAGAACTGGCACCGGTGTGTGCAAGGCGAGGACTTTAACCACTACGCTACTGTGCTGGGCCTGAATTACGAATTCTTTACATTTGCAATTGAGAAAATACTTTAAGAACTTTTCCTAAGAGCTGTATTAAGAAACTGCCACTACCACACAGAAAGCAGTTTCTCCAAATTCTTGCTGAATGGTTGCCTGTGCAGCCAGGAGAGTGCAAAGCAAACTCAAGGAAAGCACTTTCAGATCATTTTATGCAAGAGCCAACCCAGGGACTTGTCCAAAGTCAGATCAAGTGGTACTTGGGGTGCTCTGGGATGCAAACGTCCTAACCCTGTGCAGCACGAAGCCCATTTCTGGGCTTCTCTGGTTGAAGGGAAACTGACCGACAAAGCTGATGTCTTAGCTCAGCAGACACAATGACAGCCACGGGAAGTATGCCCCTTTCACTGTGTTTATGGAAAACAAATTTGAATCTACTTGATAAAGTGCTATGAATAGCAAAGAGAATGCTTGTCTGTTTTCCTTAAGGAAAAATAGCTAATTTTTACTTTGAAACTAAACCAAAGTAGTGTAGAAATTTCCCTAGCACTAAAAAGAAATACTCACTTCACAGCTCTGCCATCTGTTTGGAATATTTGGCCTTAACTTCTGTTCACAAACAACTTTTCTCATTTCTTCCACGGATGGATCAGAAGGTACAAGATCATAATAAGGCAGCTGGTAATCTTCATGTATTCCTAGATTGGTTTAGGAAAAAAAATATACACTATTTCGAAGAATTTACTCAACTAATGCCAAACCATCAAAATGATCACCTGAGAGGCCTACTGTATAGTGGCCTAGTGTCCATTGTCGCACTAGGGACATGGAGCAGAACTGAGGGTTTTTGGCCCTTCACATCCACATGAAACTCCCACCTCCCCAAGTCATTAGTGGGCCACACCATGAAACTCATGTGACATGTTATAATTAACATGGCGTTTCCCCTGAATGCTACTGGGCAGAGAATGTGCTTTCTTACTCTGTGAATGCACAGCCTCTCACACAGAACTGAAGGACAAACACGTGTTCATTGGAGATGTGATCCCTACAGGGCAAGCCCGAGTGAGAGTCCGTTCCTCCACTTGCATCTGTCAACTACAAGCCCTATCTGCCATAGTACAGAGACTCTGCCTCTTACTGCCCTAAAACACTGAGGTCAATTTGTCTGGATCAACCCTAGGATCCCAAGTTCAACAGTTTTTTGAGTAAACACTGCAAAGTGCTCATCTGAAATGAAACAAGCTTATTCTGTATATGTCATCTCCAGCTATCAAATTGGAGGAAACCACTATAATCTCAAGAAAAAATAAATGTATGATGCAGGTACATGCTGAAATAACTTCCCAGGCAGTAACTCTCTTCTAAGGTGACAATTAATTGGCTTCTGATGTTTGCCAAGATTTAAATGGAAACAGAAGATAACACTGAAACAGAACTTTGCACTCTGCGTGTTAGATCATTCTCCCTTTGTTTTCTCTGGTATTCTCTGTGATTCCCTGTGTCAGAACGCAGATGATATACAATTCAACAGAAAGGAAGGCAATTCTTGAACAATTTCTGCTCACAACAAGTCATTGGAAAGGGGAGGGTAATTTACCACCAATGGAACATCGTCGTGCGATTTCCCAGAATACTAAGCCCATGGCATAAATGTCAGCACGCTTGAAGGATTCAAAATGCTTCATATTTATGGAATCATCGAGAACTTCAGGAGCCATGTACCTAAAAAAGAAGTCATTGTTTTATTTTACTTAATTGTGGCCACATTATTTTAAACTGTTCCATACATTTTCTTTTATCCCAGAGACTATACATAGGCACACACATAGAATATGACACAACTGACATAACTTTAGACTCAAAAAAGGACAATAACCAAGCTGATGTATAAATTAATGATGCCAACTAAATCCCACGAGATGCTGAAATAGCAGTTTCATGCTACTTGAGCTGTGTTTCCAATGCAAGACACGCACATAACAGTTGTGGACCAGGTTAAACTGCTGTTCAACACTTATTATCCCATCAGAATGCTTCTGAGTGAGTCTCACCTCTGTTTCTCATCTATCCATTCTGTACTAATGCACCTGGGAGGCAGATCTTATCACAAGAACTTGGGTTTCTTCCACCAAAATGGAAACCCAGATAAATTTCCTGCCTTTTTGTTTCTTTCTGGCTCAACCCTGGCTGCTGTAAGCATTTGAGGAGTGAATCAGTGGATGGAAGATCTTTCTTTCTCTCCCTTTCCTTCTGTTGTTTTACTTTTTAAATAATAACCTTTTAAAAATTGTGACTACACAGGGCCGGTGTGGTGACATAGCAAGCTAATCCATCACATTTACATCTGTTCATATCCCAGTTCTTTCACTTTTGATCCAGCTCTGTTTATGGCATGGGAAAGCAATGGAGAATGACTGAAGTCTTTGGGTCCCTGCTCCCATGTGGGAGACCTGAAAAATACTCTTGGCTCCCAGCTTTGGACCAGCCCAGCTCTGGCCATAGCAGCCATCTGAGGAACGAACCACTGATGGAAGATCTCTCACTGTCTCTCCTCTCTGTAATTCTTTCATGTAAAATAAATGCTAAACAAAATGTGACAACTACAAATGTGTTAACGTATACCATCTGTTTTTGTCACATACTATGCAGGGACTATATATTCTAATTCAAATGTCATCTTATAAAAACAAGATGGAAGGAAGGGCAGGTATATACTCTAGGAAAGCAAATGGCAGATAAAAATGAATGCCACCTCACTTATTGCAACATAACAGGTTCTGAAGTATCAAATATGCTACTAAGATTATAGATCAGGACACTGAATCCAGAAGTCATAAATATAGACCACAGCTGCTAACCCTCTCCAAGGCCAATGCAGTGGTTCTGAAGAAATGTTTGGATAACAAGACGTGATAAACATAGAAGCGTTCTTGGGTCAGAAATTTCAGCTCCTCAGCCTACCATCCACATTACTTAATCTCCATGAGGTGGCTTCTCCATCTGTGAATAAGGGCAACAATAACTACCTAAATAGGCTCTTGGGAGAACTCATACATTCAACATTTAGTGCATATTTATCAGGTAAGAGGCACACAAGGCTGCCATCAAGCAACCTGGTGGGCAGACAGGAGCTGATGCAGCAAGTGCCACGACGGCTCAAGTGGAGAGTGCTGAGTCCCAGAGACCCACGCACTGGGACAAGCTTCCATGAGGAAGGAAGAGGGATGAGTCGGGCAGAAAGTAGGGAGAAGTCTGCTTTAAGATATGGAATTTGCAAAAGGAAAAGAGAAAAACCTATTTTCAATAACCAAAAATATGAAAAATAACTGGCTTAGTTTTAATATAGCATTTGAGGAGGGTGTTAAACACAATTTTAAAAATACATAAAAAAGAGTGGCAATAGGTAGTTTGTAAATGTGAGACTCCGAAGTATTAACAGAACTCATAGTAGTATTTTCTAGAAAGTGCCTCTTTCATCAGTAGGCATCTTTTTAAGTCAAGCAGCATGGCCAGCTTTAGAGAAGGCAAGATAAAAGATGCTCCACCTGAAGGCAATCTAATAAAGTACAAGTGTGAGCTTCAGAAAAGATATGCATATGAAAATGAAAAGTCATCAGGAGAGAAGCCAACTATAGAAAAAACTAAGCACTGCTTATTCACAAGTATACCTTTTCGTTCCCACTCTGTGGTTTGGAGCAATATCTATAGTATCTGTGGCTGAATCATGTCTTACTGCCAGTCCCAAGTCTGCAATACAACAAGTTCCATTCTTCTTTACCAAGATGTTCTTAGATTTTAAATCTCTATGAGCAATGGCTGGTTTTCCTGAAGAATCAAAAAGTGAAATAATTGCTTAAAACAGAATATCAATCAAAATTCTCATCTTTAGGTTCAAAATCCTCACCTTTCATCATCTCAGTACTAAAAAGTTTCAGCCTACATCCTACACAAACTCTTCAGCAAAAGTTGCTGAAATTACATTTCTTTGAAGAAATAAGGACAGTGAGATGCTCCAAAAAAGTTCAACATAAGTCTGACTTATGTTGATCAAACAAGTCACCAGTTTGTTTTTTGCACTTTAGTAATTTTTAAAAAGAACCAGTCACAGACTAACATTCTAGTCCAGAAACCAAGTCCAGAGAACACTTGGCTTTCCCATTAACTAGACTCTAATCAATGCCTAATATATATTTTTAACACTGGCTACTAGAAGAAAGTGCTATTAGAATTACTAATTGAAATGTGGAAAATGTGTACTGGTCCTGCATTGCTGCTAGGAATTTAAAGTGATTTCAGCCCTTTGGAAAGGTGGTCTGGGAGTTCCTCCAACACTATATAGAGCTACCATATGATCTAGAAATTCAATTCCCAGGTATATACCCAAGATTATGGAAGACAGAACATCCACAGAAAAACCTGCACACAAATGTTCACTGTAGCAATATTTATAACAGTGCAAACTAGAAACAATCTAAATGTCCATCAACAGATGAATGAATACAGAGAACATGGTAGATTCATACTACTGAATATTACTCAGCCATAAAAAGGATCGAGATACTGACATGCTACAAAGTGGATGAGCCTTGAGAACATGTTAAATCAAAGAACAAATGCCTAGAAGATCACTATTTCATGATTCCACTTATATAAAATGTCCAGCATAAACAAAGCATAGATGTAACTAGTGGTTTCCTAAGGGCTAAGGAGTTTGGGTGGCTGGAGAGAGCAGGATAACTACTAATAACTACTGGGGTTTTTGAGTGATGAAAATGTCCTAAGGGCCAGCACTTTGGCACAGCAAGTAACGCAGCTGCCTGTGACACTGGCATCCTACATAGGCACAAGTTCAAGACTCGGCAGCTCCATTTCTGATCCATCTCCATTCTAATGGCCTGAGAAAAGTAGCAGCAGATGTTCCAAGCCCGAAAGCCCATGAGCCCTATCACCTACATGAGAGAACTGGAGGAATCTCCTGGCTCATGGCTTTGGCCTGGTCTATACCTGGACTGTTAGTCATTTGGGGGAGTGAACTAGCAGATAAAAGATGGAGCTTACTCTTTCTTTCTCCTAACTCTTTCATATAAATGGATGTTTAAATAAGTTCTAAAACTGTGATAGCTGCACAAACCTATGAATATTCTAAAACCATCAAATTGTATACTTTAAATGACTGAAATATAAGTAAAAAAAAAATCTATGATAATCGCAAAGATGTGAAACAAAATACGTTCAGTGAGGTGCGCAGTGAGCCACCAGGTAGCAGATGGCCAATCACTAGAGCACACTGACATCCTACACAACACAAATAACACAGCAGAAATGCTTTACATCTAAGGCTTAGTATAAAACAATTTCGTATATTTTGAGTCAAATATAACTAAGCATTTATATAACATGATGATTTTAAGAACCATTTTGTGAGATACTACATATAAATACATATCTCTTCACTGTGGATGATAAAACTGGGATCTTCAAAAATCTAAAAGCCAGACTAGATGCTACTTCAAAGAACACACAAAAATATCACAATATTGTTAACAATGATTAGAAAAATCTCTAAACATATTCTCAGATTTTTCAACAACACAAAGGTAAACTATTCTCCTATAAAAACATTGTAAAAAAAAACAACCTCCAATTGGGTTGACTTCTAAGTTTGAATAGATACTAGACCCACAGGAATTTGAAGCTCAAGGAAACAGAACTGCTTAAAGAATTACCTTGGGTACCAACAATCTCCATGTGAAGATGTGCAAGACCACTGGCTGTGGACAGGGCAAGTTTGATCATGCCTTCCACAGTCACTGTGTATCTGTTCAAGTAATCAAAAAGGGATCCGTGTTCGTGGTAATCTGACACTAGCCAGAGTTGAGTCCATGTGCCATTGTCTGAAAAGAAAAAATAAGACTTTCAGCTGGGTTGTAGAGAACACTTAGGATTCATTTATTCAAGTCATCAGTTTTTACTCTCAATCCCTAACCACTGAGCTGCAAAAGGATGTAACCTTGTTTGTATGTATTTCCTTCACGTTCTTATATGTTCAGTTTATATTTCTTTTTAATCTTTAAAGACATGTATTTCATTTATCTCAAAGGTAAGCAAGAAACTGTCCACGTGTTACAGTGTTTCTTCTTTTGTGTAAGAATACTTTACTTTGTAAATTCATTGGATGTATGCAACAGAATATAGTACTAGGTTTTTAAATGCAGTTTGTACAGGGTTTGGAACATGAGAACATAACAAAATTTATGTTGCTTTCTCTCCTACTAGTTATTAAACCAAAGAAAAAATTAAGATAACATAAAATCACCTCTTGATTTTCGAAGTTAGTTAGGGCAAGTTACTCTGACTAGTTGAGATTAAGGAGAGAGATGAGAATTGTAAGACTCATGATTACCTTGTTCTCTGTACATTAGCTCTGTCCAAACTCACACCACTTCTTTTCCTTAATGTTAAGTATACCAACAAGTTCCTTGCATGTCTGTTAACCATGATTAGATTCTAAAAGGCTCACAAATAAGAAAGAGGGACACAGGCGAATGGAAGAAACATTTCCCCAGGTGACTGACCAGAGAGGCAGAGGAAGGTGATGAGAGGCCTTGTCTCAACTGGGATTAAATAAGACAGGAAGACGACAATGGAGGAAAGGGAAATTGAGCTGGAAGGTGAAATCCTGTACAAAGTTCATTAACTTCTGTCAAGGAAGAAAAAAGCAGGTAGGGAAGAAGCAGTAGGGCCAGCTAGTTCCGGTGATGACCACCAGATGACAGCACCAGCTTGGCTACTGCTGGGACAAACAGGATAAAAAAGCTTTTGACATGGCAACGGGGCATTTGCAACTCGAATCAGCTTAGAACAAGAGCTGGGAGAGGTTCAAGTTTCAAGAAATATACTTTAGCATCATCACCAAGGCAGAATTTGGAATCACAGACGAAGTTCTGTAATTGAGTATTGATTATTTTCCTAGTTAGAGACTTTATAAGAAACAGAAGAAAAAGAATTACGTGATATTACTTCAACTGTGTCAGCCAATGGACACTGGAAGGGATTCCTCATCTATGTATCAGCAAGATCGGCAGCATTTCAGAACTATCACATCCACCTGGGCAGAACCCTCGGAGCATGTGCCACATTGCAATCCTGGGTTGATCTCAGGTGGCCAGTCCCCATTCTCGGGTGATGGGATGGTTGGGAGGCTGGCTATAGCTTTTCCTCTTAACTCCACCTTAACCACCCCCTCACCAAGAAATGAGAAGAAGAAATAAAAAGTTTGAAAACAACAATCACACCTATTGCTACCTGGCCCTAAATTCTGCCCACTCTGTTCAACTACATAAACGTCACCAAACATAATAAAAGTAACTAAATTAATTTTTAAAAAGAGAAAAAAGTAACATGAGATCACTATCAATGAACAAGAATAAACAAAGCAACAGGACTCAGAACACAGAGAAAAGGTTTCATTAAAAGCTGGGGGAGGGTTACCTGGTGTCAATGGCAGAAGAAAATGAGAACCAATGATTTGATCAGACACAAATTACTGCTTTCATGTGTATACGATTTGTTGTTGTTGTTGTTGTTTTTAAGATTTTATTTATTTGAAAGGCAGAGTTTCAGACTGAGAGAGGGAGAAACGGAAGATCAAGATATTCTGTCCACTGGTTCACTTCCCAAATGGCCACAATGGCCAGGGCTGAGCCAGGCTGAAACCAAGAGAGAGGATGGCCCAAGCACCTGGCCCATCCTACACTGCTTTCCCAGGGGCCCTACCAGGGAATTGGATCAGAGTAGTTGGGACTTGAACTGGTTTCCATATGGAATCCTTGGCCCATGGTTTGCTTTTAAATTAAGTAACACTAAATTGCTGATAGCCAATGACAACAAATGCCTACATCCATCACCATCCCAACACATTCAAATATGATGAAATGAAAATTATGCAATATACCTAGGTTGTATTTTGAGGAAAGCAATAAAATCTCCATCATAGTCAGCCTTAAATCTATCCAGTAGTTTTGTTTAAAAATAAATAGGAGACAACTGCAGAAATCTGAACCTAACAGGATATTTAATGACATTTAAAAAGCTGACATAGTTGTTTCATGAAAGACTCCTCATCATTTAAAGATATAAATTCGAAACACTTATGGATGAAAAGGCACATTATCTGTGCCTGTTTTCAAATAACATGGTTGAGGCAGAGGAGGCGAGATTAGAGGTCGCCTATGATCATCACTACAGCTGGATGATGAGGGATTACTGCATTATTTCTGATTTGCTACGAATTAGAAATTTGCTACAAATAAAAATGTAAAAGACATCAGGAAACATATTTTGTATAAACAAATTTCACTGAAGAAAATGAAAGGGTAGAGAAGAAAAAGATGACTAAAGGTCTAATAAAGCTAAAAACAGATTTTTTTAAAATGGAAAATATAAAAAAACTATTTGACTCAGAGTGAGTTGTGACCAAAGCCACTGCCAGAGATTGCCAAGCAAGACTTGTGGCCTCCATCCACTGGCTGGCTCAGCATGGTCACTGCGGGTAATTGGGGAATCAATACGTGAGTGGGAAGATCTTTTTTCTTTGTCTCTCCTAACTTCTATCATTGTCTTCCGAATAAACAAATCAGTTTTTTCAGCAGGAATTGTGGGTCTGAGGTATTAACTGAAGCCATGAAAGTGGACACAGCAAAGCACTACAACTCTTGGTGGAAGTGGCTTCTAGATCCAATGCTTATGAGGCACCTGCACAGGCAAGAATGTTTCCACCAGGTGACCAACAGCAAAGGAGTTTAGGAGAAACCACTTCCCCGAGTATACTATTTAGACCCTGATAAGTCAGAAAAATTTCAGCCACCCAAGTTTTTATACATTGTTTCTATACTATTATGCATCCAATAATGTCCAGAAACAAAATAATAAAAGCATATGGTTTTAAGAGCAGTTTTTACTTCTATAGAGCAACTAGATTTTTAGGAACATGTACTGAGTCAGAAAATCCGAAGTTGCTGTTACTAAGTTTCCAACACTGTGTTTGATTTAACGGGTCCCATGCATATGACAAACACACATTTGTCATCAAATGACAGCTTAGTAGCCATGTCCATAATAAAGTCTTATGTGGATTGCCAGAATGGGGAGGAGCCAGCGTTACCAACCTTTGTTATCCGCTGCAATAAATCCCAGGATGTTCTCGTGGCGTAGCATCACAGTCTGGTAAATCTCCGCCTCCCGGAACCAGGAGCGCTCCTCCCTGGAGGAGAAAATCTTCACAGCCACCTCTTCTCCCCGCCACTTCCCTCGCCAAACTTCTCCAAAGCGACCTTTGCCAATGCTTTCTTGTAACACGATGGTTCTTGCAATTGTCCTCTGAACAAGCAATGGTAACCCTAAGGACAAAAATCAACACAGAATACCATGACATCAGCATTCCCTATACTTCCACTCAGGAGGGACACAGACACTACTGAAGCTAAGCTTTCAGGAGTTTTCAGTCTCAAGGGAGAAACAGAGGAAAGCTGCAAAAGGGTGATTTACAAAAAGAGGGAAATTAAGAAAACAAACACAAAATAAAACAGAAAATATTCCCTAGAGCACCAAGGCAGGCTTTGTAAAGTGAGCTGAATTTCAATGGGCCTTTCCAGAAGGAACAGGCCCAATGGAGGAGAGAGGTGAGAAGGGTGTGAGTTAAGAGAAACATGCAAGCAAAGTTGGACGAACACAAACGATACACAATCTGGAAGCAGCAAGGATGTCAGAGCAGGGCAGTGGAGAGAGCCAGGCTCATGATGACCACATGGCTGTGGGTAAGGAGAAGAAACGAGGATTTCTGAAAAAAGTGACATGAATGGGAGGGAGTAGGATGGCTTTTAAAAATCTTCTAAGAATTGGTAATGGTTTTCCAGATGGGAAGAGAAGAGGATATAAACACTGGAAACCATAAACAAAGTCTGGGCTAACATTTAATAAATCAGTAAAAATAATCACAAAACCATCTCAAGGCAAGCAATCTACTTGCCAGGAATTGGCTTCCAGATATTATTTTTATCTTAAAAGAACTACACCAAGTAATGAAGTATTTGTTGCTTTTTTTTCTTACTAATTAAATTTCTCTTACTAGAAAATACATATTTTTAAAATAATGCCATACTTATTTCATGCACAACAATTTACTTGCACAGCACTTAAGAGACACTAAATTAGGAACACTTAGCATCACACCCCCATTCATCAAGGAACTGTCACCTTAAATTATGCTGACACAAATAGGTTACATACCATTGTACATCCTCATCTACATTATTACTTATACAATCTATGTACACATTAATTTGTATCATTCACAATTTACACTCAGATCTGCTTACTATGACAATAAATGAAATTATCTTACGTTTTTCCTCCCTCATGTGAAATGCTTATAAATCCAGTGATAAATTTTACAGACTCACTCTTCTGTATCTTTAGAATTCTCAAATGAGTTTTTCTTCTTGCTCTAGTCTTCTTACCTCCTAAAAAGTTGTCACCTAATTATGAACAACTGTTTTTATGTTTATAAGGTGACTACCAAAAATAGATGTGTCAGAAATGTGCATTTAAATTAAGGTGCTCTTTCACATTATGAATAATTAATACCTAATTGTTGAGGTTACTTTGTATAAATACTAATTTATTAAATTTTCTTAAAGCTTTGTATAGGGTCACACCATGTATATAAAGTATACTTAGAGTTTGTTTTAGGAGACTATATACAAGGTACAAAGGCAAACTATAAAGAAAAAAGCTGTCACATAAAGTCTGGAAGTTCCTGACAGGTTTCAGACCCAGGTGAGTAGTACGGCCAAGAAGGTTAACAGTGGTGGCCACTGCTGCATTGCTGAGGGCCTGAGAGAGTCCCTGCTCCACTTGCCACTGTTTTCCTACTAATGCTTACCCTGGGAGGTAACAGGTGATGGCTTAAGTACCGGAGTCCCTTACCTATGTGAGAGACCTGGCCCAGCCCTGGCTGTTGCAGGTAAGTGAACTAACAGACCAAAAATATGTCAGTCACTTTTTCAAAAATAAATTATTTTTCTCAAAAGGCTAACGGGACAAGGGAAGTTTTCATATTTCCCTTTATTATTGGATGCTATTGCACAATTAAAATTAAAAGCTGAAATCTAGATTCATCATATTTTCTATAATGGCCTAATTATAATCCACATGAATACATGGATACTCTTTTAAAAAAATATTTCTTTATTTTTATTGGAAAGGCAGATCAAATTTACAGAGAGAAGAAGTAACACAGAGAAAGATCTTCCACCCATTAGTTTACTCCCCAAGTAGCCACAATGGTCAGAGCTGAGCTGATCCAAAGCTAGGAACCAGGAGCTTTTTCTGGGTCTCCCAAATGGGTACAGGGTTCCAAGGCTTTGGGCAATTTCCTGCTGTTTTCCCAGGCCTTACAGCAGGGAGCTGGAAAGGAAGTGGAATGGCTAGGACATGAACAAGTGTCCATAGGGGATCCTGCGCTTGCAAGATGAGGCATTAGCTACTGACCACTGTGTTGGGCCCTACGTGGGCAGTTTTAGAAATCAACAATTTTCTTTTAAATTCTCTGCTTTACTGTTCTGTGCCATCAAAAGTTCTTAAGAGGAAACTTCAATAGGGAAACAGGGTCCCAGCTCATTCACATGAAGTGAATACTGGAAATAAGGCCTGAGAAGACGCACATATTACAGGAGGTCATAACCATGCATTAGTCTAAGAGACTCTTTCAAAAATCAGCACCTATGCACACATGCATGCTCACATACATCTAAGAGCTCACTGACAGCTGAAGTATGGGCACACGCACAACCTGAGACTCATACGAATGTCACAGGTACTACTGAGCTAACTTCCAAGTTAAAGCTGTCAGGACATGGTCCTTCAGGGTTTTCTCTGATGTGCCCAAGTTACAAGCACAGCCTTGGAAAGGCAGATGGTGTCTTTCTTCACCTAGGGCCACAGTACCGAGAAATAAATACTCATCCAAAATACAAACTGTGTAGGTTTAGCTTTGCCTCAATGAGTAAAAGAACTAAAGATGGTACTGTGAATAGATGCTTTACTTATTCATAAACTTTATAATTAAACAGAAGGAAAATAGGTCGCATTATTTACTATCATTCAACACAGAACGGTTTTTGCCTGGGTAAGTTAAGAAAAAATTTCGTGTACAGGGAAGTAAGATCTTAAACCAAGCTTTCATTACCATCCAACAAATTAATGACTGATGATGTCAAAGTTTTCTTCCAAATGTTTTCAGTAAAAGAGCTAACAACCATCATTTGGATGCAAATTTACAACTTATCAAGCATTCAAACATTTGTCTCATTTGAATTTCATAGCTACACAATAAGTTATACAAAAGAGGGCTCATTTCCATTTTTTAAAAAATGTATCATTTGTTTGAAAGACACAGTTATATAGAAAGAGAAAAAAAAATCTTCCATCTGCTGGTTCACTCCCCAGTGAACTGTTAACAAACAAGGCTGGGCTAGACTGAAGCCAGGAGCTTCATCCAGGTCTCACATGTGAGCAGCAGGGGCCCAAATGCTTGAGTCATCTGCTGCTTTCCCAGTGGTGTCAGCAGGGAGCTGGATCAGAAGTGGTGCAGCAAGGACTTGAACCAGCGTTTATATGGGTTGCAGCTGGCAGTTTAACTCACTATGCCAGCCCCAACATTGCTTTTCTTTTAAAAAGATGAAATAACTCAGGCGTAAGATATCATCTAGCTGATATCAAAACCACAAACCTAGCAAATGAGTTAGGTAAGTGCAGACTAAAGCATAAAATGTAGGAAAAGATCTTTCAGACAACACAGAGCAGTGGTCCCTGAGAGATCCAGATTGAGAAAAATGAAGCATTTCCACTCCTTATTTCATGCTAACATTTTAAAAGGTAAACAAGTCTCTTATTCAGAAGACAAATACCACTCACACAGCAATCTGTTAATTTTTTAAGTACACTTGCTCCCCTCAGGCACAACACATGCCACTGCACAAGGTGCTAATGGCTGCTTTGATTTCCCTGAGTTAGAAAAACAGATCCAAGACATTCATTCCAAATGATCTGTAGTCACCCTGCGTTTTGAGGATTCTGGCTTTTGGTTATCATAGCTTTGGACCATGATAACTTTTAGAAAGAGGGAAATCTTCTATAGCAACCATCTGAATTAACTCAAACCCAATGGGAAATTCCAGGAAACTAAACCCCCCTCTGCTCATTCCTACCCGAATGCCATCACATCTTCAGTTCTAAGGTTGCTCCATTTCAGCCCTCATCTCCCTTTTACAATCACTTCAGAAGTCCCCATGGTTGGGTTAAGAAACCTAGGCTTTAGTGTAAACCTGTAAGCTTCACGGGGACCACACAAGGGCTACTGACAACACATGGCTAATTTCAGGTCATGGAATCAATTTGCTAAAATTCAAATCAATGAAACAATAGCCATTTTAGACATTCCTCCTGACGTGGGCTATCTCTATCATTAGATGTGATTTTGTGCTTTGGAGTTGTGCTCTTCCCCAGTCATAACTTCTTACTTAATGGTACTTTAAAACTACCTGATTGGGCCCGGCGTGGTGGCGCAGTGGTTAAGGTCCTCGCCTTGCACGCCCGGGATCCCATATGGGCGCCGGTTCTAATCCCGGCAGCCCCGCTTCCCTTCCAGCTCCCTGCCTGTGGCCCAGGAAAACAGTCGAGGACTGCCCAAAGCTTTGGGACCCTGCACCCGCGTGGGAGACCCAGAAGAGGCTCCTGGCTTCGGATTGGCATAGTATCAGCCCGTTGCGCTCACTTGGGGAGTAAATCATCGGACGGAAGATCTTCCTCTTTGTATATCCGCCTTTCCAATGAAAAAATAATAAAAATAAATCTTTAAAAAAAAAAACTACCTGATTATAAAATTAGTGAAGTTGTCAGTATTTACATTTTGTAATTTTCACCTTATCCATGAATTTAGCTCTTAGCTGATTTAGGCTTTTCAAGGATACTACATTTCATTTTAAAGTCTTAGCAAAACCATTCTTAAACACTATTATCAACAGCATTTTTTTGTGATGGACAAATTAAAACCAAAGAGGGTATACAAATTAACCAAAAATTCAGAGCTCATCAATGACAAAAAATGTGTAGTGGAATCTAGATCTATGTGTTGCTGCCTAGCAAGTTATAAAATTCCAAAATTCTAAGGGATGAGGTGTTCTTCCCTTAACGTCCCTCTAAGCCATAAGAAAAAGAAAAAGACAAAAGGGAAAGGAAATTCCCACTTGGTCTGCAAGTGGAGCACTGCTCCATCAAAGCCCATCCTGGCAGCGGGGATGAACTATCACTTATTTCCTAAAAATCTACAAAAAGGACTGAGAAAAGCAAACATCATACGAACTCTGGATACACAGAGGTGTATTAAATAACAGAGTGTTCAGACTTTCCTGAAGCAAGAAGATGACTAAGAATCAAGTAGTTTAATGAAAAAATCAGGCCTGAGCTGGAGGTGACAATTTTAGATTGTGTCAAAAAAGCTAATAATCTTCCAGTTCCAAGCATGATTCTTTTGTGCCTACTTTTAAATACACAAAGTTGTTGAAGGATCCTGGATAGCTGACCACTAAAGCATCTATGAACTTCAACCTCATCTATTTATCAGAACAACTTCATTTAGTCATAAAAAGCAAATGAAACTTACGGGCAAGAGTGCTTTAAAATGAACACAATCTTGGAGCTAAAGCTGAGTTACTGACTTGTTTCAATAAAAGTAATTTCCAAACTGTCTGTTCTAACTCAGCCACTGTCAGACACAGATCAGACCTAGAGATCTTCATCAGTTTCAAACCCAGAGCAAGCTTTACCAAACTAAGCTCTTGACTTAGCCAACAAACAAAATTAGTAAATAGCACAACTTTTTCTCAGGAAAAAAAGAAACAATTACATTACCTGATCCCGAACCTGATGTAGTCATATCGTAAATTAAATCTTTTAACGTGGTTCCCTCTGAAATAAATGGGCGATCTAATGCAGGATCCTCCTCGTTGGGCACTCGATGGTGCATGACTGTGCGGTTATGGCAGATATAGACCATCAACATAAGTGAGATGCAAACGAAGCAGACAGGTCCAGCGATGACAGCTGCTAGTTCAACAGGACCAAGGCCAGTTGACTGCTTTACTGAAAAAGGACCTCAAATGAAATAAACATAAACAACAACCGAAATACTTCAGGGGTCACTGCACTAGCTAGTCATAGAGTTCATTAAGGCAGCTCATGGGCCCCAACCCAGGAAAGCCTGCAGTCCTTCCCATCCCTCTTCTCTATCATTCCTGCTCAGTCAGCTCCCTCCTGCCCTTCCTGCACACACCAGGTATCACCCAAAGCACAGAGCAGCTGTTACCACCAACATTCTACAGTTTGCATTCTCACTTCAGGACACCAACAAAGGAACAATAACCAGGAGCAATTCCCAGGAATGTGCTCCTTAATGTAGTTTTAAGCAAAAAAAACTAAAACAAAACAAAACAAACAAACAAAAAACACTACAGCCTCACTAACACCCAAGCAACTCACATTTTAAAATAACTATGTAGGGATTTCAAAAAGTTTGTGGAAAATGGCATTAGAAGACATGTTTATTTTGTTTGTTTATTTTGCATAAAACATTGAAGTCCACACACTGGTTTCTATAATATGCATTTCACATGAACTTTTCAGACTCCGCCCCCACCATCCTCATAGCTCCAATTTTTTTCAGGTAAAATATATTCTTTGTATTTTTAAATAGAACTTGCAACTTTACAGTCTAATATAACCACTTAAACTTTCAAGTTCAAATAATTTCTTTTCCTATAACCTCTTATACAGCTAACATTTTGCATTATTTCAGAAACCAAATTTCAATTCTTGAGACGTTCATATTGAGCCTTATTTGTTAATGTTTATCCCTACTTTTTTCATCCCACATTTCTCCCATACCTCAGATCTTCATTTGGATTCATTTCCTTTCACACAGAACCCTGTTTCTAGAAATTTCTTTCAGGAAGAGTACACGGGTCCTAAAGATAGTGGATGTCTTCATATATAAAGAAAGATTTTGGTATGTTTCAGGAATTTTGAGTGATAATATGTAATATTCTATTCCTTCTTATATTTCAAGAAGCAGAAAAAGCTGGATTTGTTTTCTTTTACAGACAACCAGTGTTTACACAGGCTAAATGTTTCTATGATTGCTTTTCTTTAAAACTGAGGTTTTTAAGAACATCCATGCCTTCAGGGACACACGTTTTCATGGCTTCTGCCTGCTCTTCTCTCCTGTCTGCTCTCAAGCTTTTCTTCTAGACTTGCAATGATAAGCATAATGGGCAACCGAGATCTGTCCTCTCCATTTGCTCACCAACTGTTTTTTTTTTCTCTGAATTGTAACACAATTTTTTAAGCTTGAGAATAAAATTATAGCAGCCAGTCTGCTGTTAACTCTCAAGAATATATTTTTTAAAACATGCATCAACTAAGCTTTTCAACTAAAAAGTGATTTTTAACTATTGAAAAATGGTTCCCATTCACAATGACAGGCTAGAAAATTGACCTAGGCCCACCTGGAAGTGCCTTCCTAAAGGGTAGTGAGTCTGTTTCCTGACAGCAGCTACTCTGACTTACCCATTTCAGCCCATGTTTTTTGAACCATTGCTGTTTTTCGTTTGGTAATTTTTGCTATTTGCTTATAGGAACTAGAAATGAGGAGTTGTGTATATTTAGCAGCACAGGAGGTTTCTTTATGATGATTTATAAATGTCAACTCAAATATTTCAAGTTAAAAAAGAAATGGGAAAATTCAGGAATCACCATTTTCCTTGCTATGTTCCCACTGCAGATGCCTACATGAAAGTCACAGAGAAATTAGTCTGGTAGAGCCTTCCCACTACTTGCTCATCCCAGGAGGAGAGCTGCCTGCCTCAGTGACCAGGCCACAACAGCACTTCCAGCTCCAATTAGCCTGAGGCCTGGTCCTACTGAAAGCAAAGGTTTGGGAAAGTGGAACTTAGTTTGCCCCTATAGCCCAACTCAGCTGCCTCCTGAGTGCTTAAGGCCCTGGTGGGATTTTTGCAAGAGGCTCTTTCACTTCTTTCTTGTTTGGTTAGTCAATTCTTCACTGGTCTGGCACTATCTGGTCTACATTCTGCACGAGTTCCTCAAAGGTGTTGGATTCTGCTAGATTTCCCTTATTTTAGATTCTTTTTATTCTTACGGTAAGATTTGGATTTGGGAAAACTGGTACAAGACTCAAAAATGTGCTCAGACTTCTACTTTAAAGTCATTCTAATCCAGGCAATTAGCATGGCACAGTGATTGGCTTGCTGCTTTAACACCAGCACCCCATACTGGAGCACTGCTCTAAATTCTGACCGTTTAGCTTCTGACCTAGCTTCCTGCTAATGAACCTCAGAAAGTAGCAGAAGATGGCCCAAGCTCTTGTGGAAGACCCAGATGCAATTCTAGGCTCCTGGCTTCCCCCAACTCCACCCTGACTATTGTGGCCATGTGGGGAGTCCATTAGCAGATGGGAGGTATGTCTCTCCATTATGCTTTGCCTTTTAAACAAGAAAATAATAGTCTAATCCAAGAGGGTCTGAAGCCTTGAAATCACTGGAATGCCAAACTATTCAAAATTGTAAACTATGGGTGAAGGACCAAAAGTCTAGAAATCATGTATAATTGATTACAAAATGAAAATAATCTGGACTATTTATTAACGCCCATCTCAAGCATACAGCCGCCCAGCTACTCCCGTAACCCCAACAATGGGTAAGTTACTTCTTGCCTCTAAACTAACCAAGGTTTCTACCATTCCTTTTAGCTCTAAAATCACAATCTGAGCATAGAAAAAGAAAACAATACATGACAACTTACCAGCAGTAGGGAGTTCAATTTTATTGCAGTGGTCCTGGTTGCAGCAGTATGTTGTAGTAACAGACCCGGCTTTTGAAGAGGGTGCACATACAAATGGCCTGTCTCGAGGAATTAGGTCAATTTCAGCTATACACATACTATTGTGTATAACTTTGTCTGTAGTCTCTGTGACAGACACAAAGCAGAGCCCATCTGTCACACATGTAAAATTGTCTTTTGTGCAGAGGTGGCAGAAACACTGCAATGCTGGAAAAAGAAAATGAGATTTGATTAGAAAAAAAATACCTCAAGGTTAACAATCTGGAATTATCAATAGTCACTCTATTATTATATTACACATCATATTTGTGCCATTCAAAGACAAAAGCCATTGCTCTTAAAGTCCCAATTCCAATGAGAACCTCAATCATTCAGAAGCCCAAGGGACTATAGTGGAATGTGGTCTCTAACTTTCTCCCTAAAAGTTTTCTGCTTCCAAGTATAGAACAGCTTTGTTACATGCAGTTTTATTGAGTCAAGGTAAGCATTTGCTGTTTGAAACAGCACATTTAAATTCTTAATGATCTTACTTCTAACAGCCTCAAGTCAGGTATTCCCATTAGGAAGCAATGTGTGAAAACACAACTATAACTCACTGTATGTTTGAAATGCCATTTTTGGGGATTTATAGTAACTAACAGAGCAATGGAAACAGACTTGTATTGAGCCAGATTCTCTATGCCCCTTGGTACAAACCCTGAGAAAGATTTGTATCTTCCAGCTAGGACTATATCCTTAACAACACTTACATGATATGCCTTAAGTACATAGACAGTTTAGCTGCAGAAATGCCTGAAGAAATATGTCAACTTGTACATTGCAGATCTTTATGTCTCAACTCCAGCAGTGACTTCTTCAGGGTAGTCTCCTGTTATCCCTAACACCTCTCCATACAGACACACCTCATCCCTGCTCTCCAAAGCATGCGATGCTTTACAGAATTGCTATTTTGTTTCTCTTTTATGAAACTGTAAACTGTTTTAAGCCAGACACCTGTATTAATCACTTGTGTAGAGTGTCATCTGCTGCTATGGCTAATACACAGTAGCATTCAAAAAGTACTAGTGGAATGAACGGTAGAATGGGTGCTTCTATTTTACCATAAGATCAGGAAGCTGTAAAAGCACATACTCTAAAATGCAATTAAACTTCTCATTTAGTGGGAGGGGAAAGGGAGTGTCCAGGTGGAATGGCCATCTATGATGAGACCAAGGATGCCCAAAGCGCTGAGACAGAAAAGGCCTGGTAAGAATACTTCTGTATGCCTGAGGCCTTGGGCCACCAAGGTAGCACTCTGAACACATTTTTTTTATTGCTAACAAAATGACTTACAGTGAATACTTAGCTTTGATGGGAGCAGGGAAAATCTCAATAACTGAGGTCAGTCACAGGTGCTACAGGCCATGGACAAGCAGAGGCCATGTAGGCTTCCCCACACGGTGACACTTGGCACACACCACCACACACTGCTGTGAACAGCTTAAGGCCATCTGCCCTACTCAATTTCTCCTGGCCTTCGCTCCACTGGCCTTCACCCCTTGAGATTTTTAAATTGAATCTTTGCTATAGTAAAAACTATAGCTTTGACTACAATAGCTTTTCTGAGTCCTGGGATTCTCAGAAAAGCATCAGAACAAAGGGGGATCTTGGGGAACCTCCATAATCACTTGCTAAACTCAGGTTCATAAATGTCAGTTTTCCTCAAGCACCTGCTTCCTGGTTGCTGTTTTAATCAGCTTATTTGTCTACTATCTTTATAAAACAGCAGTTTTACTTCAACTATTGTTAAAAAGCGTTTTTTTTTTTTTCTTCATAGAAGAGTGCAGTGACTAATCTTGCCTCTGCATAACTATGAAGGAAATTCCAGAGAAAAACTAAACACAATCTCAACCTGTTTCAGGACTGTAGTTTTTTTATGTCAGTGATTGGTGGGGATTACAGGTTTTGTAGGTATAGTTTACAAGGGAGGGATTCTAAGTCGGAAATTTATTAAATGACTTTAGGGGTACATGAATCCCTTTAAACCGCAGGTCCACCAGTGTTTGTATCTGCATTTTCAAGGACATAGCTTTCCACAGAGTCCCCAAAGGGATCTGTTACTCCCTGAAGGTTAAAACCACCATCACTATGGGAGCTTGTCACTGCTATTTCCCCATGATCAGTCATTCCACCCATGTTTTCTGGGCATTAGCACTTCCTTTACCGAAAGCTCAGTATGTAAACATGTAGAACTCAGATCACAGCCACAGAGGGACTCCGAGCACTAGTGAGGGACGGCAATACAACACAGGGAGGTAAGCAGTGTGCACAAAGAGAAAACAGGAGTGCTGCTGCCAACACTCCATGAGGGTGGAAGGGCCAAGCACTTGGTCCAACAATTAAAGACATTTATTTCAGGGTTCCAGTTTAGCTCCCACATTACAAGCACTATCTAGGACCACACACTTTTCACTATACTAGGGGCCCTAGCGGCCTATGAGTAACCAGGACACTCAGACCAGCACTAGGCCATCACTGCTTCTTCAGCCATGGAAATATTTACTTCAGGCCACATGTCCTACATGGAGCAAAGGTTTCATAGGAACAGTAAACAGATCGTGTAGAAGCTACAAAAATCTTGAACCTTAAGAGCATAAAACAAAACAGGTGCCTATACCCAAAAGCCAGTGTTTCAGTGAACAAACTAGCTAATTCATTAAATTCTGTACTTGAGGAATGCTTGTTGGTCACATTAGGGATCCGAGGACTCATGATCTTGAACTTATCAACAAAACCTGAAGTCATTAAATCTTAACACAACATTACTAATGAAAATAGGAATTGGTACTTTGTATTACCACTGAAGTTAACATGCAGAAACAGATACAAACTAGAATCATATCTTAAGGCTATTTTTTCCTATTGTAAGCCCTAGCATCTCTGCCACATGAGTAACTATATTAACTTGAACTTTACTTCTGCAGTTGTTTGGGTATTTAATTTGCAGATTTGATTTAGTGATTAAAACAAAAAGGCTTTTTATATCTAATTACATGTTCGGACATTAGATATAAATAGGATCCCAATGGTGTGACTTCCAGACAGCGTGCCTCACAGGGTTGAGGGTGGGAGGATGAAGCTAGCAGATTCCCTCCTTTCCCTCCCCTGGCAGCCTACCAGCTGCACGTAGAAGTATGGTCACCAGAATTCAACATCCTGGTTCACCTTTTGGTATTCTAAGTGGTATTTAACTCCTCTGCATCTCCTCAGCCGGCATGGCTCCCCAGCTCTGGGCTCACCCAACAGCACAGCTCCCTTGCCTCCCTCCACCGTGGTGCTCAGAAGTCGCCTCCTGCCAGCTGTCTGCAGCCCCCGCCCAGGGCAAGAGAGGTTGGGGCAGCCAGGGGACAGGAGCATCCTCATTGGCTGGCAGCTAAATGTCCCAAGTCCCAGACCTGTGTCCCCAGCAGCAGGCAACCTGCATCTCCCAGCCTTTCTCCCACCCTGACCCTACTTACTTCCTCCTTTTCTACACTTCATTTTTCTCCAAAGTGGATTTTACATTATGACACGTTTGCAAATAAGTCCTTAAGAACTTCTCTTAACTAGTTTCAGTAAGAGTCTTCAATAAGAAAATGTCACTGGACAAATGTAAACACAGAACATAGAGCTTAACCAGGCAAACCTGATGGAATTTTAAAATGCTCACTATTCTAAATCAGAAACTTAACTGAGTAGAAGATTTATGTTCAATGATAAGAGTTCAGGGAAAAAAGAACACAGGAATATAAATTCTCACCAACATATGAGCTTTAATGCCCATGCATTAAAAAATTCAAATTTATTCTATTAACTGGTTTGGTGCCTGACTACCCTTCCCTATTATTAACATTAATTTTCCACTTTAACTTTTAAAATCCATTTTTAGGAAATTTTCTATCTAAAAAAGGTATGAAGTGACAACTCCTTCACACCACTTCAGAATCCACATCCCACTCCCAACTCTAACACTGATCCATTAAGCTGACTCTTAACTTCATTCTGCAATTATTCATCAGGCATCTCAATATGATATAGACTATGGGCTGAAGGCTGACTAAGAGAAGGTAACTGCATGTCGGAAGTTCGCCAGGGTAAAGGAGTAAGGTAATCAACAGGATGTCTAAATCCACAGTCATGAAGTGGAAGAGGTATCACCAGCAGCTTTGAAGGGCAGTCAAGACAAAACTCGGGAACAAGTGCAATCGGCCAGATGGATGAAGATGAGACGGTCATCCTGACTGCAGATTTTCCTTAGTGGCTAGGAATCCAAGCTAGATGACCAATATTAAGTAACTATTAATAAACTAACCACAACAATTACAACAGCAAAATGGACATAATACCTTCCTGACATAGTTACCTCAGCAAAGCTGTCAAGTGAAACATTACACATTAACACATTGTGAAACTAAGCTATTATATATAAACACACAGTTACCACATATGAAAGGTGGCATTGTTCCAAATTTTAATTTGTAGACCACAAAAGAATGAAAGCCCTTCTTCTCTCTAAACTAATACCTGAATTCTCATTACAGAACCACAGATTGTAAGAACCATATGAAACTTCAAAACCTATCTACATGTAACTCAGTTGTCATTTCATTAATGAAGAAATAAAACACAAAAGTAGGCCCTGTGCAATGGCTCCAGGCTCCTCACCCTGTACACACCAGAATCCCATGTGGGCACTGATTCGTATCCCAGTCCTCCATTTCCCATCAGTGGAAAACAGTGGAGAATGGCCCAAAGCCTTGGGACCTTGCATTTGTATGGGAGACCTTGAGAAAGTTCCTTTCTCCTGAATTCAGATTGGCTCAACTCTGGCTGTTGTGGCCACTTGGGCAGTAAACCAGTGGATGGAAGCTCTGTATCTCCTTCTTTCTGTAAATCTGCCTTTCCAATAAGTAAATCTTTAAAACAAAAAAGATACTAAGGGCCCAGTGCAGTAGCCTAGTGGCCAAACTCCTCCCCTTGCATGTGCCAGGATTCCATATGGGTGCCAGTTTGTGTCCCAGCTGCCCTACTTCCCATCCAGCTTCCTGATTAATCTGACTTTCCAATAAAATAATAAATCTTAAAAAAAAGAGATATCAAAATAATTTCTCAAGTTCACCCAGGCTATAGGTAGATGTGAATGCTCACCATATTACCATCATGAATATGAATGAATCTGATGTGCACAA